AGTCTCTCTCCATTAGCCACCCGCACCTCGAATGGCTCGACCATGGACGTGGGTAGTTTAAGCTTGTGAGATAGCGTCGCATTAATGAAGTTGTGCGACAACCCATTGTCCACGAGCACAGTCACCCGCTGATCCTTCACCCACGCCGGCAAACGCATCGTCCTCGGCCCTTTGGTGCGTGCCATGGCGTGTACAGAGATCTCAGCCTCATCATCGAGCACCTCGACCTCCACTTCTCGTTCTTCCTCGATCACCGGCTCCTCGTCATCCGAGTCCACAAACTCGATCAAGTAATTCTGCTTACATCGATGTCCCGGTGTGTACTTTTCCTCGCACCGAAAACACAGCCCCTTCTCTCGTCTCCGTGCCATCTCGTCCTCCGTCAACCTCTTCACCTCGGTTGCCGGTGGCCTAAAGGCGCCCGGCGGTCTCGCGTTCGCACTAGGTGCGCCCACGGTCGCCGACACACGTCGCGGCTCCGGGACTCGAAAGTCCGCCCGTCCCCTTCGAGTTGCGGCCAAGTGATCCTCCCGTCTCCTAGCAACTTCCATGGCCCTATGCATGGTCTCTGGTCTCTCCAATCGTACTTCAGCCGCGAGATCATATCTAAGCCCTTCAACGAACGCGCCAACAAGTGCGCTCTCCGGCCACCCACGAACCCGGCACGCCAACCTCTCGAACTCTTTTTGGTAGTCACGTACACTCCCTGTCTGCCGGATCCGAGTAAGCGCCTCGTCGTGGTTATGATAGTCTGAGTTCCCGAAATGCGTAAGGAGCTCGCGTTCAAAATCTTCCCAACGGATTGGTTGTTTCCGCCTGCGATACACGCACGTGAGCCACTGCCACCACACGTTGGCCTCGCCATCTAAATAGTACGCGGCGTAACGAACCCAGTCACGTTGCGGCATCTCATTTAAATCGAAAAATTGCACTGCCCTGTTCAACCAAGCGTCGGGGCTGGTTCCCGTGAACGTTGAGAGCACGATCCTCGGCTTCTCAACGCGTGGTCGCTTATGAGCGTTCGACGCCTGCGACCGCTGCTCGTACTCTTCCTCCTCGTCGGGGTGGTGCTCAGCCCGCTGCTGCTCCTGTTGTCTCAAACGCTCGCGTGCATTCATTCGTGGTGGATCCTGTTGCTGGAACCCGCGCAACACCTCCTCCAGGCGCTGCTCGAGATGAGCCACCGTAGCATTGGTGGTGGTCTGTCCTTCATCGAGCGAACCAAATCGACCCTCCATGCTTTCGCTTATTGCCCTGAACTGGCCCTCCAATCCTTCGACTCTCTCTTTCAACTCACGATTGGCCATATC